CCTATGCTCCGCAACAAGAGAGGCCGCAACAGTGAGGCCCACGCACCGTGATGAAGAGTGGCCCCCGCTTGCCACAGCCAGAGAAAGCCCTTGCACAGAAATGAAGACCCAACACAGCAAAAATAAATTAATTAATAAACTCCCCCCAACATCTAAAAAAAAAATAAAATTTAAATTAAAAAAAAAAAAAGTATACTCAGGGACTTCCCTGGTCTCACAGTGGTTGAGAGTCTGCCTGCCGATGCAGGGGACGCGGGCTCGTGCCCCAGTCTGGGAAGATCCCACATGCCGCGGAGCGGCTGAGCCCGTGAGCCATGGCCTCTGGGCCTGCGCGTCCAGAGCCTGTGCTCCGCAACGGGAGAGGCCACAACAGTGAGAGGCCCGCATACCGCAAAAAAAAAAAAAAAAAAGTATACTCAAAGAAAACAGAATTAGTCTCACTTATTTCACTACCACAGAGCTACTTTTTGAGAAAGTATAAAAGGAAAACAAAAACAAAACAACAAAAAATTTTTAAACACTAAACATAATCTTTCAATTCCAGAGGACAGGTAGGATTTACAGGTATCTCCTTGCTTCCAGTCTCGTTCCTCAGGTCTCTTCCACACTGTCACCATGGATAGAATTCAAAATCACACACCTGAGCCTGTCACTCCTCCTCTCTTTATAATCTTTCAACAACTCCCTCTCACGAACACAATTAAAAAAAAAAAACAGACCCAAAAAAGAGAAACCTGTTTAGAAAGTCTAGAAACTCCTTAATCTAGAAAGAATAACAATAAAGAAAAGAAAAGCTAACTTCTAAATTAAAGGCTCACTTATGATTCATAACCCTACGTTTCTCATTTCAAAACTGTAAAATAAATGAAATTTCAAATGCCAGTTAAACAGCAACATTGACACCTTGTGGTGAACATCCTAAAGTATCAAATGTGACAATGAGTGAAGTGTCTCCTAAGTAAATGTCTGCTTACATGAAAAATCATGCTTAATCCAGAGATTTACAAGGATTAAGAAACAAAAATTCAGTTTCCATCACACATACCGAATGCAAACTTTGAAAGAGCTGCTCTTACTTTGGCAACATTGGAATTAGTCTAAATTCCTAACTATTGGCAAAAGAATAAAACCTCAGGTCATTGTTTTCGTACAAAATGGTACAATGCATCCATCTGAAGGGGCTATAATGTCAGGGTCTTAGGTGCTCCAAAAACAGCCTTTACTTAGTCAAAATTTCCTATTTTTTGAGTGACATTTACACATAAAAGCTTGAGGGTAGAGATGCATACTAGTGGCACGAAAACACAGGAAGAGTTATTAACAGGAGACCTGGGTTCTAATCCTGCCTCCAAACAGCACTGAGAATTTTGTGGAGTAAGTAATATTAAAGAATTCAGACTCTGTGTGTTTTCACATAAAATTACAGATCAAGAAGTAACAATTTAGGACTTCCCTGGTGGTGCAGTGGTTAAGAATCTGCCTGCCAATGCAGGGGACACGGGTTCGAGCTCTGGTCCAGGAAGATCCCACATGCCGCAGAGCAACTAAGCCCATGTGCCACAACTACTGAGCCTGCGGTCTAGAGCCCGCGAGCTACAACTACTGAAGCCCGTGCACCTAGAGCCCGTGCTCTACAACAAGAGAAGCCACCACAATGAGAAGCCCGCACACCACAACAAAGAGTAGCCCCCACTCGCCGCAACTAGAGAAAGCCCACGCGCAGCACTGAAGACCCAACGAGGGAAGGAGAGAGGGAGGGAGGGAGGGAGGAGTAACAATTTAAAAAAAAACAAGAGGACTTCCCTGGTGGCACAGTGGTTAAGAATCCGCCTGCCAGACTTCCCTGGTGGCGCAGTGGTTGAGAGTACGCCTGCCGATGCAGGGGACGTAGGTTCGTGCCCCGGTCTGGGAAGATCCCACATGCCGCGGAGCTGCTGGGCCCGTGAGCCATGGCCACTGAGCCTGCCCATCCGGAGCCAGTGCTCCGCAACGGGAGAGGCCACAGCAGTGAGAGGCCCGCCTACCGGGAAAAAAAAAAAAAAAAGAATCCGCCTGCCAATGCAGGGGACATGGGTTCGAGCCCTAGTCCGGAAAGATCCCACATGCCGCAGAGCAACTAAGCCCGTGTGCCACAACTACTGAGCCTGCGCTCTAGAGCCCACAAGCCACAACTACTTAAGCCCGCGCACCTAGAGCCTGTGCTCCTCAACAAGATAAGCTACCGCAATGAGAAGCCCACGCACCACAACAAAGAGTAGCCCCCGCCTGCCGCAACTAGAGAAAGCTTGCACGCAGCAACGAAGACCCAACACAGACAAAAATAAAAGTATAAATATATATAAATCAATAAATTTATGAAAAAATAAAATAAATTAAATTTAAAAAACAAGAAATCATCAGGAAAGGAAAAGGTATATTTTTAAAAACTACTGCATCCAGGAACAATGTTGCCTGAGTTAAGGACAGGAAACTATAAATAAAATTTATCGGCACAAAATTAAGTTTCTCGGCAATCACTTTATATATATCATGGTAAAAACTGTGGGAAAAGAAAAACTTTTGCTTGAGCAGATACATGACGGTTACTCTGAACTGCCTGAATCACCAGAGAAAGTTCCATTTTACTCATTAACTTTGACAAGTACAATTTAAAGTTTCTAGCTCCAGAGTAACTCTCTGAGTTCAGGTAATTTACTTGAAAAATAGACACTTAGTCTGGTTCAGAAAAAGTATATCTGTGTTATCAGCTATAAATGATTTACAGGATGGCGATGAGCAGGCCACTGTTAATAAGGCAATTCAAACGGCTGACACACCTGAGGAATCTAGAAGGCATGCTAGAAGTGAAACCCCCAAGAGACATTTCATTGCAAAACCAGTGTTAAATAATTAAGCCACTACCAAACTAACTTGATGATTTTGCATTTACGGAGGGTTCCACGATTTTCAGAAATTTTCTCCATCATTATGCTATGTGCCCCTAACAACCACCAGTCTAGGAAGGTAAGTGAGAGTGTGAAAAGGGTTTGCAAAATTTGCTTGTCAGAAAACCTTCATACCAATCTCCAATCTGGCTCTACTTGCTATGCACCCCCTAAGATAAGTAAATCATTTAATGCTCCTTGGCCTCAGCTTCTACATGGAAGACAAAAGCTGATCCCTGATTTGTGAACATAAAAAACTTCTAGGAGAATAAGATAACTGATGTGAAAATGCTTATAAATTAAACAAATTTGAAACATCACTGCTTCCACATTTTGGAACAATTAGAGAGGTTAAATGAATTAGGATAAATCAAGGATAATTAAAGTCAGAGTCAGGTCAATCAAAGCATTCTCCATTATATCAAGTTGATTCCCAAGATCCTACAGTCTTTCTTCAGCTCCTATTCTCCTGTATCACTGCAGTACAGAGCCTTCAATACTCCTTAAATCTCTAATCTCTCAGATTCTATGATGCTACCTTTCCTAACTCCTCCTCTTCTCACTGACTCTGTATTCCCTTTTCTTTTTTCTTTTTTTTTTTTTTTTGCGGTACACGGGCCTCTCACTGTTGTGGCCTCTCCCGTTGCGGAGCACAGGCTCCGGATGTGCAGGCTCAGCAGCCATGGCTCACGGGCCCAGCCGCTCTGCAGCATGTGGGATCTTCCCGGACTGGGGCATGAACCCATGTCCCCGGCATCGGCAGGCGGACTCTCAACCACTGCACCACCAGGGAAGCCCCCCTTTTCTTTTAATTCCACTGATTTCTCTAATGAGATCACACAATCTCATACTTGGAAAATATCTTTAAAAATTATATTATCTAACCTCTCATTTTACTGAGCAAAACAGGCCAAGAAATATTAGTCTCTTCCTCACATTTCAAACTATTTCTGTACATTCCTCTTTCCAATACTTAAAACTCAATGTAGTCCCAAACTGAATAGGCTCAAAAATAAGAGTTATAAAATAGACAACTCCTGCTTTCTATCTCCACCATCCAATTACTAAATTCTGTCCATTCTGGCACATATCCTAAGAAGTCAAAGTGAAAGTACCTCTCAGGTAAGAGTCAAAAGTCATCAAATGTGTGTGGTTACTTTAGTTGAAAACATTGTCTCTTTAGAGCATTTTACATAGTCCATGTCAGCAAACTCTCTACCATTATGTACAATAAGATTCAAGATTTGCAAAGGAAAAGCCCATTTCATAATGTTTAAAAAATAAACAATCATCCAGTTGGATAAGAGTCCAATCATCCTTCTGGACTCTTCCTCTAGTAGATATATAGAGAATGTCTAATGGTCTGGAATTTATGATGTGTTATGTAAACACTAGGAAATACTGCCAAAATCTAATTTCAATGAATCATCTGTCTGAGTAGGGTGAACACAGGTTGAGTGTCACTCTTAACTTTATTTTAAATTGCATTTATTTTGGTAGCCTGCCTCCTGGGGAAATGTCCTTGATGATCTACCACATTGAAAATTAAAACCAAATTTAAAAATCTTTCCAAATTAAGCCCAGACATTATGAAAATATAGAGCTGAGGCAGTTAAACCTCTAAGCACATGAGATTCACGCAGAGCTCCTTTGCCTTGCCAAATATGATTCTTTTAGGATGAACAGCAGATCAAAACTCTAAGCTATGTCTGGGGCTACTGAAGGGGTTTTCTAGTAATGCCACAGTTGTTAAAGTTTTGGTAAGTCTAAATTTTGTACCTCTGGTTGCTGCTCTTTATTGTGCAGAAGACCGGAAACAGCTCATGTCCCTGTTTTAAGATCACTGGTTTCCAATCACTCTCTCCCACTGTCCAGAGGAAAAAAATGGCTTTCCAAAGGCTTTGTAAAAGAGATAAATCACTGTAGCTACAAAATTTATGAAGCTCTCACTAAAAAATGCTAAGTCTGAGTAACAGCTTCTAAAGATTCCATACATTTCCTCACATCGAAATGTCACAAACTCAGAATGAGGAAGATTCTTGACAAAATGCAAGAGGACTCTAAGAAGTTTCTTACCGCAGCAAAGAGAAGACATCATAAGAATTGCGAACACAGTTCTGATCCACCTGAAGAAGAATACTCTTCTGAGCATCTGAATAACCCTAAAAGACATTAATTAACAAATTAATCAAAGTAAAACAAAATATGTGTCCAAATTAATCGTGATGTTTGTATTTTTAAAATTATGATTCAATAACAACTCAGTAAATTCAAATCATTAAGAAATTAGAAAAAAGTTAAGAAACACTTTCATATAATTGAAGTTTAACCTTATAGGCAAGTGAATTTAAAATAAATTTCTTCTAACATTTTCCCACAGAAACAATGTTTCACATTATAACTTTTGGTGAACTTCCCAGTGAAACCCCAGAAGTCTTTTTAACATATTATGTGGCTGAAGAAGAGTATTAACAATAATATTTCAAGTATGCCTAGCCATCATATGTAATGTTTTTATGGAGGAAAAGGCATTCCAAGTTTTAATTAGGAATACCAGAAACAAGTATTTCCACTCAGTGGTGTAAAGGTGGTGGCAGCAAGGATGGTTTCTAGAAAGAACACAGCACAATTCCATAGGAAGAGCAGAACAGCTATCTGGCATTTCAGAAAGGCAAAGTAAATAGTAGTTAAGAAAAAAGGACTCTGGACCCAGACCACCTGGATTACAGCTTAAGCCCTTAATACATCAGCTCTGTAATCTGGAACAAGGCACCTAACTTCTTTTAGTTTAACTTTGGTTTCTTCATCTATAACATGGAGATGGTAATATTATCTACCTCACAAATTGTTGTGGGAATTAAAAGAGCTGATATTTGTAAAGTCAAAGGTATGTGATAAGCACTGTATAAATGTTTGCTATAATGCTAGTATAAGCATTTTCTAAAAGTTACATTGCTGCACACATTAAAAGGTTATTTGGAGAATAGTATAAACAACTTTGTGCCAACAAATTTAACAACTTAGATGAATCTTTGAAAAAATACAACATGACAAAACTGATTAACAATAAAACAACAATATCTATGACCCAGCAATCCCACTACTGGGCCTATACCCTGAGAAAACCATAGTTCAAAAAGAGTCATGTACCAAAATGTTCATTGCAGCTCTATTTTCAATAGCCAGGAGATGGAAACAACCTAAGTGCCCACCATCGGATGAATGGATAAAGAAGATGTGGCACATATATACAATGGAATATTACTCAGCCATAAAAAAAACGAAATTGAGTTATTTGTAGTGAGGTGGATGGACCTAGAGTCTGTCATACAGAGTGAAGTAAGTCAGAAAGAGAAAGACAAATACTGTATGCTAACACATATATATGGAATCTAAGAAAAAAAATGTCATGAAGAACCTAGGGGCAAGACAGGAATAAAGACACAGACCTACTAGAGAATGGGCTTGAGGATATGGGGATGGGAAGGGTAAGCTGTGACAAAGTGAGAGAGTGGCATGGACATATATACACTACCAAACGTAAAATAGATAGCTAGTGGGAAGCAGCTGCACAGCACAGGGAGATCAGCTCTGTCCTTTGTGACCACCTAGAGGGGTGGGATAGGAAGGGTAGGAGGGAGGGAGATGCAAGAGGGAAGAGATATGGGAACATATGTATATGTATAACTGATTCACTTTGTTATAAAGCAGAAACTAACACACCATTGTAAAGCAATTATACTCCAATAAAGATGTAAAAAAAAAAAAAACCACAACAATATCTGAATAACTCTATTTTTTAAGTGAATAAGTAATTGAAAATCTTTCCACAAAAAAGTCTAGGTCCAGATGGGTTCACTGAATTATATCAAACATTTAAGAAATATCATCAATTTAACACAAACTCCTTCATAAAACAGAGGGTAAGGGAACAATTTCCAATTCATAAGACCAGCATTACTGATACCAAAACTTATCACACACACACACACACACACACACACACACAAACACAATTATAGACCAATATCCCTCACGAATATAGACACAAAAATCCTTAGGAAAATATTAGCAAGTAGGACCAGCAATACGTTATAAGGACAAAATAGTAATGCATCGTTATTGACTGAATTTATTCTAAGAATGTAAGGTGGGTTTAGCATTTAATATCAACCAATTAGCAAATAAATGAAGCAATCATTATAAGCCTATCTTGATGGGCACACAATTATAAAGATGTAACTTGTGATGACAACAACATAAAAATGGGGGAACAGAGCTATACGGAAGAAAAGTTTTGTATAATATTAAAACTAAGTTGGTATTAATTTGAACTAGACTGTTATAAATTAAGATGTTAATTGTAATTCTTGGGGCAACCACTAAGAAAATAACTAAAAGATATATAGTAAAAGAAATGAGAAAGGAATCAAAATGTGAGAAATAACTAACACAAAAGAAGGTAGTAACAGAGGAACTGAGGAACAAAAAAGATGTAAGAAAACAAATCGAAAAGTGGCAGAAGTCCTTCCATCTGTAATTACATTAAGTGTAAATGAATTAAACACTACAATTAAAAGGCAGAGATTGGAAGAATAGATTTTCTTTTTAATGACCCACTATATACTGTCTACAAGAGACAAATAGGTTGAAAATGGAAGGACAGAAACACAAATAGGTTGAAACACAATAGGTTGAAACACAACAGGTTGAAAATGGAAGGACGGAGAGATATTCCATGTAAGCAGTAACCAAAAGAAAGCTGGAATGGGTATACTAATATCAGACAAATAGACATTAAGACAAAAAAAACACAAATAGGTTGAAAATGGAAGGACAGAAAGATATTCCATGTAAGCAGTAACCAAAAGAAAGCTGGAATGGGTATACTAATATCAGACAAATAGACGTTAAGACAAAAAAAAATTGTTAGACGAGACAAAAAGGGATATTATATAATATTTAAAAGGTCAAGAAGATATAAATGATTATAAACATATATGTACCTAGCAACATATAACAAAACATATGAAGCCAAAACTGCAAAAACTAAAATGGGAAATAGCTGAAGTCAACATCCCACTTTTAACAATGTGTAGCACAACCATAAGAAAGATAAACAATGAAACAGAAGACATGAAAAGTACTATAAATAAACTAGACCTAACAGATGTATACAGAATGCTCCACCCAATAACAACCATATACATATTCTTCTCAAGTGCACATGGAACATTCTCCAGGATAGACCATATGTTCAGCCACAAAACAAATCTCAATACATTTCTAAAAAATGAAATCATACAAAGTATCTTTTCTGATCACAATGGAATGAAACTAAAAATCAATAACAGAAGGAAAGTTGGAAAATTCACAAACTACAAAGTAAATAACATACTCTTAAACAACCAGTGGGTCAAAGAACAAATCATAAGGTAAATTATTAAATACTCTGAGTAGAATAAAAATGAAAATACAACATATCAAAACATATGGGATACAGTGAAAAAGTGCTCAGAGGGAAAAGTACAGCTGTAAACATTTACATTTAAAAAAAGAAAGAGTTCAAATCAATTAATCTAATCTTCCACCTTAAGGAAATAGAAGATGAAGAACTAAACCCAAAGCAAAAAGGAAGTAAATAATAAAGATTAGGGCAGAGATCCATGAAATAGAGAATATAGAACAATACAGAAAAATCAAAAAAAACAAGTTAGTCCTTTGAAAAGAGCAATAAAATTGAAAAATATTAAGCTAGAGTGAAAAAGACAAAAAAAGAGAATACTCAAATCACTAAAATCAGGAATGAAAGTGAGAACATTATCACCAATCTTATAGAAATAAGAAGTATTATAGAAGAATACTATGAACAATTGTATGCAAACAAATCAGATAACCTTGATAAAGTGGAAATTCCTAGGAACGCAGAAACTCCAAAAAATGACTCAAGAAGAAACAGAAAGTCTGAACAGATCTACAAGTTGTAAAAGAGTTTAGCTAAGCTACTCCATGGTACTGCTGCCCTGGCCTCCATTTTGTTTGGCCAAGCAGCCTGCAGGGACCTTAAACTAACACTAGACCCCCTTTCAGGGAAGTGCATGCCCTAGATAGCAGGATGCAGAGTCACAAGCAAATGTAGCTTCTGCAATGACTTATGATCAAAGTCTCCCCTGCTTCCCAGCACCTGTATACTTTACACACCCCATAGATAAAAATCTCCATGGAACTTACCAAAACCCTGCTCCTTTGGCTTGAACTGACCAATCCAGCCCTAGCCCAGGAACCCCAAAGCACTCTACCCACAGACTCTAAATAAAGACATGTGTCCCAGGTCCTGCATCTCTCTGTCTGCACTTGGCCTTGAGCTCCCCATATATAACTTTACAGTCAGTTCTCTGTATCCATGGTTCTGGTATGCATGATTCTGCGTCCATGAATTCAACCAACTGTGGATTGTACAGTTCTGTAGTTTGTATTTATTGAAAAAAAAATCCACATATAAGTAGACCTGCCCAGTTCAAACACATGTTCTTCAAAGGTCAACTGTACTAGCAAAGCTAATCCAGCAGCATACTAAAAGGCTTATACAATCTGGTCCAGCAATTCTACTTCTGGCTATATACCCAAAAGAACTGAAATCAAAGACTCAGAGAGATATTTGTACATCCACATTCATAGCAGCATTATTCACAGTAGTTGAGGGCTAGAAGCAACCTGAGTATTCATCAACAGCTGAACAGAAAAACAAAATGTTGTATATTCATACAATGGAATATAGTTAGCCTTAAAAAGGAAAGAATTCTGCTATAACATGCATGACCCTTGAGGACATTATGTTAAGTAAAATAAGCCAGTGACAAAAGGACAAATATTGTAAAATTCCACTTACATAAGGTACCAAGAGTAGTCAAATTCATAGAAACAGAAAGTAAAAGGGTGAGTGCCAGGGGCTTGGGAAAGGAGAAGATGGGGAGTTACTGCTTAATAGGTAGAGAGTTTCGGTTTTATAAGATGAAAAGAGCTCTGGAGATGGATAGTGATGACAGTTGCACAACAAGGTGCATGTCCTTAATGCCACCACACTGTACACTTAAAATGGTTAAGATGGTGAATTTTATATTATGTATATCTTACCACAATTAAAAATAATTTTTTAGAAAAG